TTTTGCGTTCACTGTAATGTTAACAACGACTAGTATGCTAACAGTGCACTCCTGAGTTTGAAAAAAAAAAAAAAAAAAAAAAGCTTAAGTTTGGTTTCTGGTTTAGTCCGTGATTTAGTTTTTGGTTTAGTCGTGCAGTAGTTTTGGTTCAGCCCAGTGTTCATTTTGTCCAACTAAAGTCCTGTCTTAGTCCTGGTTTAGTTCTGTCTTAGTCCTGGTTTAGTCCCTAGTTTAGTCCATGATTTAGTTTTTGGTTAAGTCCTTGGTTTAGTCCTGAAAGTTTTGGTTCAGTGCAGTGTTAATTTTGTCCTACTAAAGTCTTGTCTTTGTCCTAGTTTAGTTCCGGTTTAGTCCTGGTTGAGTCCTGATTTAGTCCTGGTTGAGTCCTGGTTTAGTCCCAGTTTAGTCCCTGGTTTACTCCATGGTTTAGTTTTTGGTTCAGTCCTTCGTTTAGTCCTGGAATAGTTTTTGTTCAGGCCAGTGTTCATTTTATCCTCGTAAGGCCTGGCTTAGTCTTGGTTTAGTCCTGGTTTGGTCTTGGTTTAGTCCTGGTTTAGTTTTTGGGTCAGCCCAGTGTTCTTTTTGGCCTTGTAAAATCCTATCTTAGTCCTGTCCTAGTCCTGGTTTAGTCCTGTCTTAGTCCTGGTTTAGTCCTGAACAAGTCCTGGTTTAGTCTTTGTTTAGTCCTGGTTCAGTTTTTGGGTCAATCCTTGGTTTAGTCCTAGAAAAGTTTTGTTCAGCCCAGTGTTCATTTTGTCCTCATAAAGTCCTGTCTTAGTCCTGTGTTAGTCCTGGTTTAGCTCTGGTATAGTCCTGCTTGAGTCCTGATTTAGTCTTGGTTTATCCAGGTTTAGTCCCTGGTTTAGTCCTTGGTTTAGTCCTGGAATAGTTTTGGTTCGGCCCAGTGCTCATTTTGTCCAAATAAAGTCCTGTCTTAGTCCTAGTTTAGTCCTGGTTTAGTCCTGGTTTAGTCCTGGTCCTGTTTAGTCCTGGTTTAGTCCTGGTTTAGTCCTGTTTAGTCCTGGTTTAGTCCTGGTTTAGTCCTGGTTTAGTTTAGGTCGAGTCCTGTGGTCATTTCGTTTAGACCTTTTTAGGTTCTGTGTTAAAGTCACTGTATCTGATTCTTTTTTCTGTCCAAAGTAAAGTTTTACATTCACAGTTATGTTAACAACAACTAGCATGCTAACAGTGCACTCCTGAGTTTAAAAAAAAGTCCAAGTTTAGACTCTGATTTAGTCCTGGTTTACTCCATGGTTTAGGTTTTGGTTCAGTCCTTGGTTTAGTCCTGGAATAGTTTTGATTCAGCCCAGTGCTCATTTTGTCCAACTAAAGTCCTGTCTTAGTCCTGGTTTAGTCCTGGTTTAGTCTTGCTTTAGTCCTGCTTGAGTCCTGATTTAGTCCTGGTTTAGTCCAGGTTTAGGTTTGGATCAATCCTGGGTTTTGTCCTGGAAAAGTTTTGTTCAGCCCAGTGCTCATTTTGTCCAGCTGAAGTCCTGTCTTAGTCCTGTTTAGTCCTGGTTTAGTCCTGGATTTAGTCCTGGTTTAGTCTTGTCTTAATCTCGGTTTGGTCTTGGTTTAGTCCTGGTTTAGTCTTTCGTTTTGTCCTGGAATCGTTTTGGTTCAGCCCAGTGTTCATTTTCTCCTTGTTAAATTCTGTCTCAGTCCTGTCTTAAACCTGCTTGAGTCCTGGTCTAGTCCTGGTTTAGTCCTGGTTTAGTCCTGGTTCAGCCCTGTGGTAATTTAATTTAGACCTTAATAAATTAAAGTGTTAAAATCTCTGTGTCTGATTCACTACGAAGACTTTATAAACACTTTTCACAACTTTCAGAAACCAGAGTGAACTTTTGCATTCACTGTCATATTAACAACAACAACTAGCATGCCAACAGTGCACTCCTGAGTAAAAAAAAATCTACCTTAACTTTTGTAATTAATTTCCTCGAATATCAAAGAATCCGAAGTTCAGGTAAAAACTAAACTTAAACATACATTTTGGAAAGTAATTCTCAACTTACCAAAAATGAAGTTTCGGATTTTTTCTTTTCGGACTTTCTTCTTTTGTTGTTTTTTTTTTGGTCTTTTTTGTCGTTTTTATCTCTAATTTTCAGTCGGTTTTGAGTGTGTAAAGTGCAAAGGTTCAGGTTTAATAGGCCCTGATGCTCTGCTGCTTTACTAGATTAACGGGAGTGTTATGGTAAACTGGGAAATCCCTCCTGGAAGTTCCCTCGTAAACAAAGAGACCCCTGTGTTTTTAAAGGACGCCTCAAACAAGGTGAAAAAGTCACGTTTACACTGGTTTGGTCCTGGTTTGGTTCTGGGTTCAGTCTTAATTTGGTCCTGGTTTGGTCTTAGTTTGCTTCTGGTTTGGTCCTAGTTTGATCTTGTTGTCTTGATCCTGTTTTGGTCCTGGTTTGGTCCTGGTTTAGTCTTTGTTTGGTCCTGATTTGGTCCTGGTTTGGTCTGGTTTGGTCTTTGGTTTGGTCCTTGTTTAGTCGCTGGTCTATCCTGGTTTAGTGCTTTAGTGTTAGTCCTGTCCTGGTTTAGTCTTAGTTTGGTCCTGGTTTGGTTCTAGTTTGGTCTTAGTTTGGTTCTGGTTTGGTCTTTATTTGGTCTTTGTTTGGTCCTGTGTTGGTCCTGGTTCGGTCTTGGTTTGGTCTTGGTTTGGTCCTGGTTTGGTCCTGGTTTGGGCTTAGTTTGGTTCTGGTTTGGTCCTAGTTTGGTCTTAGTTTGATCCTTGTGTAGTCGCTGGTCTTGTCCTGATTTAGTCCTGGTTTGGTCTTAGTTTGCTTCTGGTTTGGTCCTAGTTTGATCTTGTTGTCTTGGTCCTGTTTTGGTCCTGGTTTGGTCTTGGTTTGGTCTTAGTTTGCTTCTGGTTTGGTCCTAGTTTGATCTTGTTGTCTTGATCCTGTTTTGGTCCTGGTTTGGTCCTGGTTTAGTCACTGGTCTAGTCCTAGTTTAGTCTTTGTTTGGTCCTGATTTGGTCCTGGTTTGGTCTTGTTTGGTCTTTGTTTAGTCCTTGTTTAGTCGCTGGTCTTATCCTGGTCTAGTCCTGGTTTAGTGCTAGTCCTGTCCTGGTTTAGTCTTAGTTTGGTCCTGGTTTGGTTCTAGTTTGGTCTTAGTTTGGTTCTGGTTTGGTCTTTATTTGGTCTTTGTTTGGTCCTGTGTTGGTCCTGGTTCGGTCTTGGTTTGGTCTTGGTTTGGTCCTGGTTTGGTCCTGGTTTGGTTTGGTCCTGGTTTGGGCTTAGTTTGGTTCTGGTTTGGTCCTGGTTTGGTCTTAGTTTGGTCCTGTTTAGTCTTGGTTTGGTCTTTGTTTGGTCTTGTTTGGTCCTAGTTTAGTCTTGGTTTGGTCTTTGTTTGGTCTTGTTTGGTCCTAGTTTAGTCTTGGTTTGGTCTTTGTTTGGTCTTGTTTGGTCCTAGTTTAGTCTTGGTTTGGTCTTTGTTTGGTCTTGTTTGGTCCTAGTTTAGTCTTGGTTTGGTCTTTGTTTGGTCTAGTTTGTGGTCTTGTCTAGTTTAGTCCTGGATTGGTCTTGGTTTAGAGCTTCTCTAGTTCTGGTTTAGTCCTAGTTTTATCCTGCTTTAGTCTTGGTTTGGTCTTAGTTTGGTCTTGGTTTGGTCCTGGTTTGATCTTGGTTTGGTCTTTGTTTAGTACTTGTTTGGTCACTGGTCTAGTCCTGGCTTAGTGCTGGTCTTGTCTTGGTTTGGTCTTGATTTGGTCTTGATTTGGTCCTGGTTTGGTCCTGGTTTGGTCCTGGTTTGGTCTTGGTTTGGTCCTTGTTTCGTCGCTGGTCTAGTCCTGGTTTAGTGCTAGTCTTGTCCTGGTTTAGTCTTAGTTTGGTCCTGGTTTGGTCTTTATTTGGTCCTGGTTTGGTCTTGGTTTAGCCGTGGTTTGGTCTTGTTTTGGTCCTGGTTTGGTCTTTATTTGGTCCTGGTTTAGTCCTGGCTGGTCTTGGTTTGGTCTTGGTTAAGTCCTTGTTTAGTTGCAGGTCTAGTTCTGGTTTAGACCTGATACATCTTGGTCTAGTCCTGCTCTAGTCCTGGTTCAGTCCTGATACAGTCCGCCTGATATAGTTCTGGTCTTTTCCTGGTCTAGTCCTGCTCTAGTCCTGGTTTAGTCCTGGTTCAGTCCTGGTCTAGTCCTTGTGTAGTCCTGGTTTGTTGCTTGTTTAGTTTTTGTTTTCCTTGGTCTAATCTTGGTTTAGTCCTGGTTTAATCCAGGTTTAGTCCTAGTTTAGTCATGGTTGAGTCCTAGTCTAGTCCTACTCTAGTCCTGGTTTAGTCCTGAGACAGTCTGCCTGGTATAGTCCTGGTCCAGTCCTGGTTTAGTCCTGGTTCAGTCCTGGTCCAGTCCTTTTGTAGTCCTGGTTTGTTGCTGGTTTAGTCCTTGTTTAGTTTTTGTTTTCCTTGGTCTAGTCTTGGTTTAGTCCTGGTTAAATCTTGGTTTAGTTCTGGTTTAATCCAGGTTTAGTCCTAGTTTAGTCATGGTTGAGTCCTAGTCTAGTCCTGCTCTAGTCCTGGTTTAGTCCTGGTTCAGTCCTGGTCCAGTCCTTTTGTAGTCCTGGTTTGTTGCTGGTTTAGTCCTTGTTTTTGTTTTCCTTGGACTAGTCTTGGTTTAGTCCTGGTTAAATCCTGGTTTAGTCCTGGTTTAGTCCTTATTTCCTCAGGGTTTCGACCTTATTAAACCTTTATCTTAGTCCAGTCTTGGTTTTAAGTGTTTTTAAAGCTCAAAAGCAAAAATAAAAGACTTAAAACAAAAACACTCTTTGTTTTTATGAGCGGCCTCGCCTTCCTGCAGATCTGAACCGTAACTCTCCCCGACCCACGCCACCTTCCTTCTCTTCCGTCTCCCGTTTTTTTTTTTTTTTTTTTCTTTTAATACCTTTTCTCTCTCCGAGCCCGATAAATCCTGCCTGAACTTGTCGCGTAAACTGCAATCCCGCAAAATTTTCACCGCTCCGTCTTAAAATAACTCTCCCTTTCTCTGTTTTTTTTTGTCTTCGCAGATCTCGGAGTGAAAGTGCCTTTAAAGACCTCTGCTCCTACTTGAAGAAAAAAAAAAAAATCCAACGTTTAATCGGATAATTCCCGGACCAATCTCCCTCTTCTCTTCCCGTTTTTTTTTTTTTTTTTTGAACAAGCTCGAACAAAGAAAGCCATGTTGCATCCCTGCTTAAAATAGCTCCGCATCTAGAATAATCACTCACGTAACGGACATTTTGGGGACGGTTTCTCGGCCGGTCGCAACTATTTTAAACGCGAGCGATGCCACGTCTTAGTTTCGCATTTCCCACGTCGTAATTCGCCAAATAACGAACCGAAAACCTCCCATGTTCCCTTTAAAAAACGCTTACAGTCGTTCAACAGCGAGCGGACTTTCTTCGAAGCGGCGTTTTTAGCGTTTCCGGGGGTCGAGGATTTTTTTTGTTTGTTTTTTTTTTTTTTTTTTTTTTATTAAATCGATTTCGGTCGACCGGCGACGTCATGGCCCTGAACATAGCGTCGATACGGGACACGAAATGGCTGACGCTGGAGGTGTGCCGGCAGTTCCAGAGGGGCACGTGCTCCAGGAGCGACGAGGAGTGCAAGTTCGCCCATCCGCCCAAAAGCTGCACCGTGGACAACGGCAGAGTCATCGCCTGTTTCGACTCGCTAAAGGTGAGACGGTTTAAAGTTTTTGGTTCGCTGTTTGAGGCTGGAATATCATCAAAAATAATGAGTCCTGGTTTGGTCTTTGTTTAGTCCTGGTTCAGTTTTGGGGTCAATCCTTGGTTTAGTCCTAGAAAGGTTTTTGTTCGGCCCAGTGTTCATTTTGTCCTCATAAAGTCCTGTCTTAGTCCTGTCTTAGTCCTGATATAGTCCTGCTTGAGTCCTGATTTAGTCTTGGTTTAGTCCAGGTTTAGTCCCTGGTTTACTCCATGGTTTAGTTTTTGGTTCAGTCCTTGGTTTAGTCCTGGAATAGTTTTGGTTCGGCCCAGTGTTCATTTTGTCCATAAAGTCCTGTCTTAGTCCTTTCTTAGTCCTGGGTTAATCCTGTCTTAGTCCTGGTTATAGTCCTGCTTGAGTCCTGAGTTTGGTTTAGTCTGTTTTGTCCATTTAGTTTTTGGTTCAGTCCTTGGTTTAGTCCTGGAATAGTTTTGGTTTGGCCCAGTGCTCATTTTGTCCAAATTTAGTCCTTGTTTAGTCTTGGTTTAGTCCTTGTTTAGTCCTGGTTTAGTCCTGGTTTAGTCCTGGTTTAGTCCTTAGTCCTGGTTTAGTCCTGTTTAGTCCTTGTTTAGTCCTGGTTAGTCCTTGTTTAGTCTGGTTTTTTAGTCCTTGTTTAGTCCTGGTTTAGTCCTGGTTTAGTCCTGGTTTGTTTAGTTTAGTTTAGTCGAGTCCTGTGGTCATTTCGTTTAGACCTTTTTAGGTTCTGTGTTAAAGTCACTGTATCTGATTCTTTTTTCTGTCCAAAGTAAAGTTTTGCATTCACAGTTATGTTAACAACAACTAGCATGCTAACAGTGCACTCCTGAGTTTAAAAAAGTCCAAGTTTAGACTCTGATTTAGTCCTGGTTTACTCCATGGTTTAGGTTTTGGTTCAGTCCTTGGTTTAGTCCTGGAATAGTTTTGATTCAGCCCAGTGCTCATTTTGTCCAACTAAAGTCCTGTCTTAGTCCTGGTTTAGTCCTGGTTTAGTCTTGCTTTAGTCCTGCTTGAGTCCTGATTTAGTCCTGGTTTAGTCCAGGTTTAGGTTTGGATTAATCCTGGGTTTTGTCCTGGAAAAGTTTTGTTCAGCCCAGTGCTCATTTTGTCCAACTGAAGTCCTGTCTTAGTCCTGTCTTAGTCCTGTCTTAGTCCTGTTTAGTCCTGGTTTAGTCTTGTCTTTTAATCTCGGTTTGGTCTTGGTTTAGTCCTGGTTTAGTCCTGGTTTAGTCTTTGGTTTAGTCCCGGTTTAGTCAGTGCAGCCCAAAAGCTGCACCGTGGACAACGGCAGAGTCATCGCCTGTTTCGACTCGCTAAAGGTGAGACGGTTTAAAGTTTTTGGTTCGCGGTTTTGGGGCTGGAAAATCATCAAAAAAGTACGTCTCGATTCTTGAATTTCAGCGTTAAAGGGTCGATGTTTCGCTGTTTTCTGATCTGTTCTCGTGTTTCGTCGTCACAAACAAATCTGGAGTTGTGGTTCATTTGGTTTTCCGATTATTTGTGTTGTTTTGGGTTTTTTTTCAGACCAGGAGTTTGTTTTCGTACCTGACAAAGCCCCGTGTCGTTCGTTCATTTGGTTTTCAAAATAAAATGGAAAATAAGAAAATGAACGACTTTTACGTCTCATCTGGACTCAACCAGGACTGAATCAGGACTAAAACAGGACTAAACCAGGGCTAAACTGTTTTCAGTCCTGGTTTTGGTCCCGGTCTCAGTCCTGGTCTCAGTCCTGGTCTCAGTCCTGGTCTCAGTCCTGGTCTCAGTCCTGGTCTCAGTCCTGGTCTCAGTCCTGGTCTCAGTCTGTCTCAGTCCTAGTCTCAGTCTCTCTTCCTGGTCTCAGTCCTGGTCTCAGTCTAGTCTGGTCTCAGTCCTGGTCTCAGTCTCTCAGTCCTGTCTCTCCTGGTCTCTTCCTGGTCTCAGTCCTGGTCTCAGTCCTGGTCTCAGTCCTGGTCTCAGTCCTGGTCTCTTCCTGGTCTGCTCCCAGGCTTGTCCCTTTCTCAGTCCTGGTCTGGTCCTGATCTGATTCCAGTCTTGTCCCGGTCTCAGTCCTGGTCTCAGTCTTGGTCTTGTCCCGGTCTCAGTCCTGGTCTGGTCCTGATCTGATTCCAGTCTCAGTCCCAGTCTTGTCCCAGTCTCATTCCTGGTCTGGTCCTGGTGTCAGTCTTAGTCTTGTCCTGGTCTGGTCCCGGTCTGGTCCTGGTCTGATCCTGGTCTGGTCCTGATCTCAGTCCCGGTCTCAGTCCTGGTCTTGTAAAGGTCTCAGTCCTGGTCTGGTCCTGGTCTGGTCCCAGTCTGGTCCCAGTCTCAGTCCTGGTCTTCGTCCTGGTCTCAGTCTTGGTCTGGTCCCGGTCTCAGTCCTGGTCTGGTCCCGGTCTGGTCCTGGTCTGGTCCTGGTCTGGTCCCGGTCTCAGTCCTGGTCTCAGTCAGTCTCAGTTGTTGTTTGTTTGGTCCTGTTTAGTCCTAGTTTAGTCCTGGTTTATTCTTGGTTTAGTCCTAGTTTAGTCCTGGTTTATTCTTGGTTTAGTCCTAGTTTAGTCCTGGTTTATTCTTGGTTTAGTCCTAGTTTAGTCCTGGTCTAGTCTGTGTTAAATCTTGGTTTAGTCCTGGTGTAGGTCTTGGTTTAGTCCTAGTTTAGTCCTGGTCTAGTCTGTGTTAAATCTTGGTTTAGTCCTGGTGTAGGTCTTGTTCAGATCATTTTTAGTCCATGAATCACTGCTCTCTGAATATTTAGTTTTGACTTAAGGCCAGGAAGATTCCAAAACTACTACAAAGTGGTTCTTGTTTAGTCCTGTTTTAGTCCAGGTTCAGTCCTGTTTTAGTCCTGGTTTAGTCCAGGTTCATTCTTACTTTAGTCCTCTTTTAGCCCAGGTTCAGTCTCGTTTTAGTCTTGTTTTAGCCCAAGTTCAGTACAGGTTCAGTCCAGGTTCAGTCCTACTTTAGTCCTGGTTTAGTCCAGGTTCAGTCCTTGTTAAGTTCTGGTTTTGTCTTGTTTTAGTACCCGGTTTTAAATTATGTCCTATTACTTGTTTACCCATAAGTTAGTCCTGGTTCAGTCCTGGTTTAGACCTGGTTCAGTCCTGGTTCAGTCCTGGTTTAGACCTGAGTTAGTCCTGTTTTAGTCCTGTTTTGTCTTAGTCCTGGTTTAGACCTGAGTTAATCCTGGTTCAGTCCTATTTTAGTCCTGTTTAAGACTTGTTTTAGTCCTGGTTCAGTCCTGGTTTAGACCTGGTTTAGACCTGAGTTAGTCCTGGTTCAGTCCTGTTTTAGTCCTGTTTAAGACTTGTTTTAGTCCTGGTTTAGTCCTTTTTATTCAGTCTTTGTCGTTATATTTGGTGTCATCAGTTTGAGTTTTTGCTCTACTCGCTGTTGCTCGTTCTTTGTTGATTTACAGTCGCTCGGGTCGGTCGGTCTGTGGGTCTGTGGGTCTGTGGTCTGTGGGTCTGTGGGTCTGTGGGTCTGTGGGTCTGTGGATCTGTGGGTCTGTGGGTCTGTGGGTCTGTGGGTCTGTGGGTCGGTGGGTCTGGTGGGTCTGTGGGTCTGTGGGGTCGGTGTGGGTCGGTGTGTGGTCTGTGGGTCTGTGGGTCTGTGTCTGTGGTCTGGTGGGTCTGTGGGTCTGTGGGTCGGGGTCGGTGGGTGGGTCTGTGGGTCTGTGGGTCTGTGGTGGTCGGTGGTCTGTGGGTCTGTGGGTCGTGGGTCTGTGGGTCTGTGGGTCGTGGGTCTGTGGGTCTGTGGGTCGGTGGGGGTCTGTCGGTGGGTCTGTGGGTCTGTGGGTCGGTGTGGGTCTGTGTCTGTGGGTCTGTGGGTCTGTGGGTCTGTGGGTCTGTGGGTCTGTGGGTCTGTGGGTCTGTGGGTCGGTGGGTCTGTGGGTCGGTGGGTTCTGTGGGTCTGTCTGGGTCTGTGGGTCTGTGGGTCTGTGGGTCTGTGGGTCTGTGGGTCTGTGGGTCTGTGGGTCGGTGGGTCTGTGGGTCTGTGGGTCTGTGGGTCGGTGGGTCTGTGGGTCTGTGGGTCTGTGGGTCGTCTGTGGGTCTGTGGGTCTGTGGGTCTGGTGGGTCTGGTGGGTCTGGTGGGTCTGGTGGGTCTGTGGGTCTGTGGGTCTGTGGGTCTGTGGGTCTGTGGGTCTGTGGGTCTGTGGGTCTGTGTGTGGGTCTGGTGGGTCTGTGGGGTCTGGTCGGTCTGTGGGTCTGTGGTCGGTGTGGGTCTGTGGGTCTGTGGGTCTGTGGGGGTCTGTGGGTCTGGTGGGTCGGTGGGTCTGTGGGTCTGTGGTCCTGTGGGTCGGTGGTCGGTGGGGTCTGTGGGTCTGTGGGTCTGTGGGTCTGTGGGTCTGTGGGTCTGTGGTCTGGGGTCGTGGGTCTGTGGGTCTGTGGGTCGGTCTGTGGTCTGTGGGTCTGGTGGGTCTGTGGGTCTGTGGGTCTGTGGGTCTGTGGGTCTGTGGGTCTGTGGGTCTGTGGCTCGTTGGGGGGGAGTCTGGTCTTTGGATCTGTTTTAGTCTCTGATGTTGGACGTGGGCGCGGGGTGTTATCTGTCGGCTGGAATTAGCCCGTGCGTCTCTGGCCTGTGACCTCTGACCTTTGGCGCTGGCGGTCGGGGAGTCGCTCCGGAGTGAAAGTTACACGACGATAATAAATCAATTTTAACCACACGGGCTGAATTATGAGGGAGAAAAAACACAGTAACTTGAATTTTGGTACAATTTTAACACTACTTTTGGTGACTTTTCAATAGAATTAACAGTTATAAGTTTGTTTTTTGCTTTTCCAGTTAGAATTATTCGGGTCTTTCTGAATCCTGACAGTATGGTTTCGGTGTCACTGACGGACCTTGGGTTAGACCCGGTTTAGACCTGGTTTAGACCTGGTTTAGACCTGATTTAGACCATGGTTTCGAGCTGGTTTAGACCTTGTATAGACCTTGTTATAGACCTTGTTTAGAACTAGTTTAGACCTTGGTTAGACCTGGTTTAGACCTGGTTTAGACCT